TCACTAAGCTTCGTGCTTACATATTTGTTTATTGGTTTCAGGCATCACCATTTGGAAAGAAGAGCTCAGATTGATCGCAGTGCACACACCTATGATTTCCGAAATGAATGATTTTGGGATGAACTCTGATAAATGATTTACTTAACGATGATTTGAAATGTTGAAATAAATAGTATCAATGTTTTAGCTAAATTAAAAATGAGATTTTTTCCCTTGATTTTTGGGTCGCTACAAGTTGTATCAGAGCCTTGGTTTGAGGGATATGGACATACTTTTGGGTGTGTCTGAACTCAAGCTAAGGATCTCTAAAGTTTTCAAAAGAAAAAAATGTTTTAAGGAAAGAATTTATAAGACAAGGAAGGGTGTGGTGCATGCAATCAACCAAGCTCAAGTAAGTTTCCCATAATACCCACATATGTTGTCTATTATGACTTGGTTTATGAATCTGTGAATTGCATGCTAGTTAGGGCTAGGGGAGATGCATGTATATGTTATATGAGCTGGTAGACTTGCATGCTAGTGTTGAGTAGTCAGCAATAGATTGGTCTGATATGTTGTGCTTGTAACATTGAGAATATTGAATGCCATGATAGAATGAGAATGATTATTGGTATTAGTAACTACTATGTGTATTTTTTTTAAAAATTGTATATGGTTAGGATCTTATAGCCTTAAAATAATTGATTTGGCCTTATTTCCTGTTCCTTGTTTGGTTGTGGTCCTACGGTAGAGCCTATTATTCGACAGTCTATTAGATCATGTTCTGTGTATAATTTGCATGCACAAGGCAACCAACAGCGAGGATGGATGGATGTGGATAGCACGAGTTGTGATATGTGGGCTGAATGTTCTATTTCAGTTCTTTGGATCGGAGTACGACTGCACGAATGTTGCTTGCTTTGTGCTTTGTGGAACTCTTGAGTGATGGGAGTCAGCCAGTAAGTAGATATGATGATATCCAGGAGGTGGATGGTTGGCATCATAGGTAGTTCTTCAGTATCTGATGGTAGGGTGACGTTGGGATCCTAGGAAAGCCTAGCATATGCTCTAGTGAGTTAGTAGGGCGGTTCAGTGAGGTTGGGAACCTAGGGGGAGCCTAGGAGGTACTACGGTGGATATTTTGTTGTTGTTTAGCGGATATTTGGTGCATCAGTGGGGTAGGTGCCTTAGAGGATTCGAGAGGATTGCTGAGGAAAGTATGGATAGGTGTGGAAGGTAGTATTGGCCCATACTACTGAAAGTACAAGATCCAAACTCAAATCATTAAGAGTCTTGGAAAATCTAAGAAGCTTATAGGAAGGGGAATTCTTGGTTATGCTTCGATAGTGGGAATAGCTGCTTTGCCAGATGAGGATGAGCACACATGAGGAAGGAACAGGGTTTGGTCTCGGCTCTGGTGATGAGCCAGGTAGCGGAAGGATTGTCAGGATTTTGAGTTTGCCTTGGATCTCTTATATCAGGAAGAAAGGATTAATTGTGCGATCTATTGCACTTTCGGGATTAGAAACTATGTCTTGGGGATGGTTAGTATCCCGGTTTAGAGCAGGGGTTGCTCCAATTATTATAGTCCAGTCGTTAACGATTGAGCTGGTGAGTGTGCCAGGGTGTGAGACCCTGAATGATATGATTTGTAGAGCTCGAGAGCAGGAATTGATTTGGAGCACATTAGGGAGAGGGGATAGATCATGTGCATACATTAGAGGGTCCTGGAAAGGGACCCAAGAGTTTAAGTCAACTTTTGAGAGGCCAGCAGGGTCGGATTTAGTATAGTTCTTGCGGAAGACTGCACGAGGGAGTTTTCATTTCGAGGGTTTTAGTAAGTGTATCTCTGGGTTTGTTACCCTTCTTGTGTTTAGATTATACCTTCAAACATTGTCATATGTCATTTGTATACCGTGACTTGCAGGGTGGTTAGTGAGGGTTATTTCCCTCTTTGTTGGTTTGGAGCACTCAATGTTATCTGGGTCTATGGCCGAGATCGGTTCAGGGACATGATGCTGAAGGTCTACGGACAGGATTGGTGACTTAGCCATTATGCTCAGCTCGACTTTTGGTAGCGTTATGGAAGTGGTCTACCATTGAGACTTGGGTCTAGACATCGGTTAATTGGACTTCAATATATAAGTGTGACATCATTTCAAGGCGCCTGAGATTATTAGTCTTGCTGGGATTCGGGAGGTGTTTATCTAATCTCTAGGAGTTGTGTGGTCTTTCGGGTTTGGTCCGGTAATAGAACATTCGCACGGACCAGAAACAGGTTGTCTGCAGTTGGTTATTAAAGAGTAAAAAGGATCGGGAATACTTCAAATATCATGTATTGCGAAGACTTAGTTGAATCTAAGTGGGGGAGAATCGCACAGGTATTCATGACAGGGACAGGTATGAGACCAGGATGGGTTTCTCATCCTCGTCTAGGGAAAAAGGGCGGCCCAAGTGGTTATTTTATTTGAGTATTGTGCGAGTTTGGAGTTCGTTAAAACCCCGTCATATGGATTGCGTCTTCTTGGGGGCTTAATAACAGAATTTGGGAAAGCAGGTCGAAATTCCAGTTATTAATTGAGTTCAGTTCGGGTGTTCGTTCGAGTGTGTGATTGACTCTGCATGCGTTTCGAATCAATAGATTAGGGGTAAGGTATTGGGATACGGTTATGTTAGGACGAAAGTGTTGTAAGACTATGAGGGAGCTGTAGCATTCACGGATGGTCATTTGGTATGGAAGTGTTGTAAAACTATGGGGGAGTTGTAGCATTCACTGATGGTCAGTTGGTATGGAAGTGTTGTAAGACTACGGGGGAGTGGTAGCATTCACTCATGGTCAGTAGGGTGAAAGTGTTGCAAAACTACGGGAGAGCTGTAGCATTCACTAGCAGCCAGGTAGAGATAGAGTGTTGTAAGTCAGCGGGTGTAACCGTAACATTCACTAGGTTGGTAGATAGCATGAGTGCATTGTTAAGACGTGGAAGGAACAGTAGTACCCACCAGATCGAGGGTAGCAGTGAGGATATGGAAATCCACGGATTGGATTTCGGAATTACCCAGTTGGTTTAGATATGGTTGAGCCGGCGATGAGACTGTAGGAGCACCACTACAGTTATGAGATCAAGGAAGCAACGGATTGCTTACGGTCGTTTATGATATAAGGCTTCCATTGGTCTGGTAGCAATCACTTTTAGACTTGAATTTAGTGATGCTCGGATCCGATGTATTGACCCAATCATTTAGGTCAGGTTATTAGGCTCTCAGTGGCATGATAACTAGTGGCAACTAGTTCCAGAGAAAGATTTCATTCGGAAGTTGTGTGAGGTGACTAAGTGGGAGTCCCTTTTAAGGGTGGCAAATCGGGCCATCGTGTTGTGTTTTTGTCTGACACGACACGACACAACAAGATTTTATGTAACACGAACACGGCACGACACGATCTCGTGTTTTTTTAACTAACACGAAAATGAACTGATTAAAAAATGACAAACACGACACGACACGATAATAATAACATGAAATAACAATTAAAATATTTAATTAATATTTATTCATGCATAACACGCAAAACTCGACAAACACGACAAAAAATACTAAATCGTGTCAATTTCGTGTCAAAATTTGAACACGACACGACACGCCGTCATGCTTTTTACACCCGACACGAACACGACACGAACACGAATTCGAATTTCAATTTCGTCTCAATTTTGTTTCTTGTCGTGTATTTTTGTCGTGTTGTGTCATCAATTGCCACTCCTAGTCCCTTTAGCTCAGCGACCGGGCTGGAACCCGGTATTTCAGATGACTGACAAACGAATTGAGACCAAGAAGGCCTCGATAGGTTTTAGGAAGCAGCCATGTTCCAACGTGTTGTTTCAGGCAGTTTAGTGATTCAGGAAGATCAGTGCTTCGGATAGTTTCAGTGTTGCAAGCAGTAACGACATTTTGGGATTTCATGTATGGTTAGAGTCATGGATAGCTTGAGTTATGCTAACTTACTCACTGCGGGATTATTTGATCCTAGGTCAAGTATAAGTGATTAGCAGGGATAATTAGGTATGTGGTTCTGTTTCTAGTGGGAACCCCGGGCTATCAGGAGTTGAGTAGTCAGTGGAGAGGCAAGTGGAATGGATTGAGCTATAATGATTCAGTATGAGTGGTCTGTGATGGATTCAGACCATCTTGAGACAGCAAATTTCCGACAGAGTAGAGGTAATCTTGTTACGAGGAATTCGTTTACCCGTGGATTTTAGGGCTTTGCGAAGATTGGTCACGATTACCCTAGGAAGGCTAGGATGTTCCCAAGATGGCAACCGTGTTACTAGATTGGTTGGGCATGTAAGGAATGGTAAGAAATGATTTCGAGGATGAAATCTAATTTAAGTGGGGGAGAGTTGTAACGCCCCGTTTATTTAAATAAATTAATAAATGTAAGTCGCGGACTAATTTGTGAAGAATTTTGATAGTTGGGGGTTGTTTAGTAAGTTACGAAGTTGTTTTGAGAAGAATTATAAAAGCAAGGGTATGTTTGGTAATTATTGGGTTAAAATTGAGAAGATGTTATGGGCCAGGGGCTAAAGTGTAAGTTTTAGGCTTGATTTGAAAGGAATTTAAGAGGGCAGGGTCGAATTGGTAAATAATGGACTAAGTTTGAAAATAAATCTGGAAGTGAGGGGTTGTTTGTGTCATTACGGAGTGTAGTTTATGTGAACCGGGTATTTAACCTCCAGGTACCGTTCAACCCTAACCCTAGCGTTATTTCCTTTAGCCTCCATGCGAGACTTCTCATCTACCACCCCCTTTTCTTCATCTGTTTTCCGATCATACAAGTTCGATGCCGCCACCCTTATTCTTCCATACAGCCACTACCTCCGTAAGACCATGGCGAACCACCGAGACCGATCGAATGAAGCAGCAATGGTTAGAGTTTGGAGAAGTTGTCGTTGCTGTGGAACCGTAAACCACCAGAAGCGTCGCTGCTTCGCCGTCTAAGCATCACAACAGCCCCACTATCGGAGATGTCGTGTACACTGGAGAACCGCCGACAGCGAGGAATATCGGTTGTGTTCGTTGATGTGCGATTCATGAGCAACAGGAAGCTCTTGTGGCTGATTTGGGGTATGTTCGGCCTTCAGATCGTGGTTGCATCCCGATTCCAAGCAAAGAAGTGTCGGGGAGTGTTGCTGCTTGTCGGGAACCGAAAAGAACCCGCCGCCACCACTAAAAGGTGGTGGCTGCCAACCCAAAAACTATTCTGACGTCACCTTGAGCCACCCGGTGGGTGGCTGGATTGTAGTATGCAATCTGAAGTATAGGAGTGCGTGTTTTGTCTAGCCGAAAAGTCGAAATAGCCACCACCACCACGAGCCACCGTCGGCCACCACTAGGATGGTTGTGTATGTGTGTGTGTGTTAGAATAGTTAGTGTGTGTTTATTTGTGAATTAAAAGCTTGTAATTATAATTAGCAAAATATGTAAAGAAAAGAACAATAACCACCACCGTAAGGTGGTGGCCGCCGCCGTGCGCCACCATTGACCACCAATACCCAAGGCGGTAGTCGGTGGTGCCCCACTAGCAAAACCCTAATGGGCTTAAAGATTAATTTTGGGCCTAATTGGGCTATTGTTGGGTTGAAAACCCAAATTAGGGTTTAGAAAACCCTAATTTTGGATAACTGGGTTTGAACTTATCGGGACCTGCATTTTGGACCATTGAAGGTCGTGAGCCGCCATTGACCACCACTACCCGAGGCGGTAGTGGGTGGTGCCTCACTAGCAAAACCCTAATGGACCTAGAAAAACCCTAATGGGCTTAAAGATTAATTTTGGTTCTAATTGGGCTATTATTGGGTTGAAAACCCTAATTAGGATTCAGAAAACCCTAATTTTGGATAATTGGGTTTGGACTTATCGGGACCCGCATTTTGGACCATTGGAGTGAAGATATGACTCAAGCCCGATTTCATTGTATGTTTGGACTTAATGGATTAAGTTTTTAATGGATTAATTCATTAACGGGTTAAGTAGGAACACTTAACCCTAAGCGTCATTTTATGTGAAAAACCCTAATTGGGTTTTTGGGTTCTTATTAGGAACATATTATGGACTAAAGAAATTATTGGGCCTTAGGATAAGACCTGTTAGAGGGGCTTGGGCCTAATTTGGAAATTTGGGCCATAAGTGGACCATATTTGGGCCTTGAGGATTATTAGATATTGGGCCATCAGAATGCCAAGTGTTTGGACTAGAATAATTGGTTAGACCTTAAAATAAGTCCATGTAGAGGTTTGGATCCAATTTGGAAAATTGGGCCATATGTTGGACTTTGGCCCATTACTTGGCTTCTAGGCCTTTAGAGTATGATTTGGATCTTGGGCTTAGAACTCACTTATTAATTGGGTATTGTTTGATGTTGATAGTTCGGGAATCTGTCAACCAGCAGCTGGAGTTTTATTCTCGGGACTTCAGCAGTGTCAGGTGAGTCTTTTCACCATACCCATGGGTCTAAGGCACCAATGCCGATCCATTATGTGATTATGTTATATGTTTTGTTCATTATGTGATTTGATATGATATGTGATTTGTTATGATATGTGATTGTGTGTTTTTGCATGGAAGACCCCGGGGGAGCCCGTGGCATTAGATATAAGACCATGTGGGGTAGCCCATGGCATTCCTAAGTAAAGACCATGTGGGGGAGCCAATGGCATTGGATATAAGACCATGTGGGGTAGCCCATAGAATTCCTAGGTAAAGACCATGTGGGGGAGCCCATGGCATTGGATGTAAGACCATGTAGGGTAGCCCATGGCATTCTTACAGGTTTTTATATGCATGGCTTATGTGTATAAGTAGCTTCTATAGCTAGTTGGATATGTGATATAGGTAACTTTTATAGCTAACAGGGTATGTGATATGTGATATGTTGATTGTGTGTATGGTATGCTCTGGGAAACTCATTAAGCTTCGTGCTTACAGTTTTGTTTAATGGTTTCAGGTATCATCGTTTAGAAAGAAGAGCCCGGATTAATCGTAGTGCACACACCTGTGATTCCTGCAACGAATGATTTTGGGATGAACTCTGATAAATGATTTACTTAACGATGATTTGAAATGTTGAAATAAAGGGTATCAATGTTTTAACTAAATTAAAAATGAAATTTTTACCCTTAATTTTTAGGTCGTTACACTACACCTGGGTCATGTTTGTAAGGAACAAGAGTGATGCTACATAATAGATTATTTCATTTATCAAATTAACATTCTGAAGCTTAGTTCGACTTGAAGGTAAAACAATTAAGAAGTGATCATGACACTGAGTTTAGAAATCAAACTCTTGAGACTTTCTACAATGAAAAAGGGATTGCTCATAACTTCTCAGTTGGTCGTACCCCTAAACAAAATGGTGTCATTGTGACATCCCCAATTTCACGACCAGAAAAAGACCGATTTGTTTATGCTTTGTTTTAAAAATCAGAGTAATCTTTCAAAGAAAACGGTTGCAGAATATGATAAGAATTTATCAAAGCATTTTTTAAAGAAATGTATTTCCATTATATAACAAAATCTCAGGATGTCATGTTCCGATACAGACACATAAGCATAAACAGAACATATATTCATTCACATTAGTGATTTACATCTTCTTTAATCTCTCAGTGAAATATGTCTTCGTATTGATACTTGTGATACAAAGAAAATTGAGTGGGTCAGGTTTGGGAGCCTGGTGAGCATATAGGGTTTTCAACCCACAATATTATATCATAATATATATTTAATCATCAAACAATCAACCCAATTACCCATCCCCATTTTCTTCTTTATTTCTTAAGGTTTTACCCTAAGAATCAACTATCATTCATTCATTCATTCCTAAGGATTGACCTAAGGAATTGGCACAGAATCCATTGCTACATAAGGCGCATCTGCCAACATTATCCTTTAAGCGCCTCTGCCAGGATTACGACATTCACTATTAGGCGCCACTGCTTGGATTATGACATACACTATTAGACGCATCTGCCAATATTATTCTTAAGCACATCTTCTAGTATTAGGACATTCTCTTTTAGGCGCATCTACCGACACTATCCTTTAAGCGCATCTGCTAGGATTACGGCATTCACTATTTGGTGCATCTGCCAATATTATTCATAAGCGTGTCTGCTAGTATTATGACATTCCCTAATTGTTGCATCAACCATTATTATTCTTAAGCGCATCTTCTAGTATTATGACATTCCTTAATTGGTACATCTACCAATATTATTCTTAAGCGCATCGGCTAGTATTATGACATTCTCTAATTGGTGCATCTACCATTATTATTCTTAAGCGCGTCTGATAGTATTATGACATTCCGTAATTGGTGCATCTACCAATATTATTCTTAATCAACTTTCAAACCTCATCATTTTATCACACACCAACTACCTCATCTACCCATGTTTTACCCAACATATTTATAGATATAAAACACATATATAGTTTAACTCGTTTAAAAACTATATAAAACATCCATTCCACACTCATCTCAAATAAACAACAATATATAAACACATAGCACGTATTTCATAGAAAATACTTCATATTTATGTGTTAGAAGAGAGTGAATACACACGCACCCAAAACATATACTTAATACATTCAAACAATACTTGTATTAAAATTGTGTTTATGAAAGGGACTATACACTCACTTCAAATAAACAACAATATATATACACATAACACGTACTTCAAAGCAAAATACTTCATATTTATGTGTTAGAAGAAAATAACCACACACTCACTTGATCAGAAGATGATCGGACAACACTACGGCTTGTAGAAGTAGTATTCTTCGATGAAACCGGGAGATCTTCACAAAAACCGGGCTTTTGGGGGGCAGATCTTCGGCTCGTGAATTTCACTTCTCGGGATCTTCGGGGCTTCGGAACTTGCTTCGAGGCTCGGGATTAATACCAGGGCTTCGGGAGTAAAATTTTCCAAATAGAAGAAAGTATAAGGGGGGAAGAAAGAAAATTGAGCAACAAAACCCGAAGGTCTCGTGCTCCTTTTATAGGGCTAAACACCCGATTTACGTTGGGCGTAACTAAAGATTACGTTGGGCGTAATCTGTTGTCGACATGTACGCTGGGCGTACCGGATGGATAAGGCCGGATGAGTCACAGGTTTGGTATTATCCGATTTTATAATTAAATAAATATATTTTAATTATTTAAAAACTTCCGAAATTCATATCTTCCTCATACGAGTTCTGTTTTCGACGTTCTTTATATCCACACATAGGTGAGACTATGCTCTACAACTTTCGTTTAAAGTCCGTCGGCTAATTTTGACTTTATTTTTATTATATTATTTTAGTAGACCGGGAAAGGAAAACTCTGTTATAAATTCATAACTTCTTCATCTGACGTCCTTTTTCATCTGTCTTTTTACCGTTGCACTACTAATAACGAGATCTTCAATTCTCATTTAGATTGCTTCGGCTAGAAATCACTCGATCTCGTAATCGAACTTCGGGCTGCATACTACTAAGCTGAAACTTAGAAAAATCATAACTTCCTCATACGAAGTCAGATCTGGACGTTCTTTTTATGCACACTCTTGGTTTAACATATTATACAACTTTTATTTAGATCACTAAGGCCAACTGTCGCTCTAACGTAAATTCACTATTTACGTCGTTGTGTCGTGCTGGTTCTGTCGCGAAACTTCGACAGGTCATAACTTCTTCGTTATAACTCGGATTTCAGCGTTCTTTATATGTACGAAATCCTTGTAACATATAATAAAACTTATTTAAGATTAATCCTTCTAAATAATCTTCCATCAAAAATTCATGTTTGATGTTTATCGTCTCTAAATTGACTAGCATGGATCTACGGTCGTTACAGTAATTGAAATACGAAATTGCACTCTCATCGAAGTTGGTCGAACTATGGTCTTTGATGTTGGTTTGTCTCTTCAATTCTATATTAAAGTCGTGAACATTACATGCTTCACTCAAAATCGTTCCATCATTGTGAAGCGTCATGGAAAAACCTCCTATGAACTCTTAAATGGAAGAAAGCATGGCATTCCATATTTTCAAGTTTTTGGTTGTGTTTGTTTCATACTTATTCAGAGGGACAATCTATTGAAGTTTGAAGCTAAATTTGATGAAGGTGTCTTTGTTGGTTACTCCTCCATTTTTAAAGCCTTCAGGGTGTACAACTTACGTATAAAGAAAGTTGAAGACTATATACATGTAAAGTTTTATGAAGAATCATACCTTTTCAGTTTTGAAGATCATTCCTTTTCTATCCTTGATAAACTCACCACTCCAACCTTTGCATCATAATCTTTAAATGATTTTATAGCTCCTCTAATTGTTCCATCCTTACCTGAACTACCCTCTTCAGTGACATGTTTGTATGACCTTTATGATGATTCTTTCCTTGACCCTGAAATCACCCAACCTCTGGACCCTGTCTCCGATGTCTCTCCCACTATTCCTGAATCATCAAATTTTCAAAAGCGTTAAAGATCATTCTTTCTCCAAATCATTGGTGATATTTATATTGGTGTTCGAACTCGTCTTCAGGACAAAAGGTTGTGTCGTTAACCCTTTTTTGGATGATGAAACTAATTATTTTAAAACTTGCATCCATATATCTTGGGGTCATAACATTATTTTAAAACATGCATACATATAAACATGTGTTGATTTTCTATTCACATTTTCTCATGTTTTGTCACTTTACATGAGACAGCTTTTAAAACGGTCTGTCCCATAGTGAAAATCTCACTCCTAAAACCCACAAGAGAGAAAATCCCTCTTAGATGTTTGTTTTCCTATATTCATCTTTTAATTAAATAAAAACTATAATTTTAATAAGAATCATTCATTTCATTACTTCAAAATAAAAATAGCATTACATTCCATTGCCCAAATAAAAATCCTACAAACTTCAAAAGAAAAAAAAAATTAACATACAAACTCAAAAAAGCATACATTAAACGATTTAAAATAAACGCACTATATAAAGTCGTCCTCCGAGAACTCGTCTTCCGGGTCCTCCTACGGATCCAAATTGAGGTTAATGTGTTGCATCCCGTAAATGTGTTCCACCAAATCCATACGAAGATTGTGAAATGTTTCATTGCAATGAACATGTGCTCTCTTTTCAATGTACTCGTCGCCCCCAATTTCTATTCCTTGTGTCGCGGGAATGGTTTCTTCTTCATCATACTCACATATCGCTCTTCCTTCAACTGTACGAAAAAAAAAAAACCTAATAGGGAACCTGAAACCTACACATGGCTTGACAAGGAAATTCCCAAGTTAACTCAGAATGGGGATTCGGATGGGCAAATAAAAAAGTATGGATGGGTACCCCTAGTCCTTGACCCTGGACCCGGACCCGATAGATTTTACTATATAAAAATAATATAAAACATATATTTATAGTAAAATTTACAATTCCTAAAGTTTGATCCAATTATCCCTACTCATTAGTAATTACTTGATTAAAATTATATTTTTCTTTGTTGGTTTATCTAATTTAACCCGTATATAAAAAAATAAAATTCTCCATGATTATATATCTTTACTTCAAATATCACTATGATATTATATTCGATGTTTATTTTTTATCGTGTTTATTTTGTAATGTTAAAAGTCTTTTAACCAAATTTGTATTTTAAGAGTGGAATATCAAATAGTCTATCTTACATGAGTGGTGATATGTTATATATATGCATCTTTTAAGAGTGGAATATCAAATAATCTATCTTACATGAGTGGTGATATGTTACATATATGCATCACATTACATATATGAGTGGTGATATGTTATATATATGCATCACATTACATAAGTTGAAAGTTCACATTCAATACTATGTCCATGCTATAATATATACTCAATCATATCATACACTTCTATAGCTAAAATTAATTGAGTTTCTATGTATTTAAATTTTGGTAGAAAAATTGTTTCTATTTTTTCTTTACATAAAGTTTTTACATTAAAATAGAAAAATAAATAAATAAATAAAATCTCCAATTTCCATTGGGGATTAACGATCACGATTGGGGGGGTGGGAATGGTGATAAGTATAGATATGAGGATTAAAATGAAGATTTCGGGATAAAGATAGAGATTGCATTACCTAGTATTTTCTTGTTCCTCTTCCATGAACCCAAAGATTTCATCTTTTTGGACAAAGAAGTTTTGTTTCCATTGTGGCGAGGAGAGAGAGAGGGATTTTAGTTATATTTGACCAAGTCAACAACAACAAATCACCAAGTCAATTTCCACATCAGCACAAATTGTCCTAGTTTTATAATCCATTTTGGCAAAAACAGAAAAACAAGATACCTTAGATCGGTTTTTTAGGAAACGTTTTTTTTCAGAAAAAAGTAATGAAACTATAATGGTTCTGTTGCATTTGTCCTATTAATTTCATATGGGTTTTTATTTTTAAAAAATATACTTTTACCAAATACGGAAATATTTAAGCATCCAAGAGATTTTGCTTTCTTACTTCTCCCCCAAGAAGAAACTCTCGCCTACTTGCAGATCCATACATTTAATCCTCTCTGTTTCTTCTCCCACAAAATCTTTTACGCAGGCGCCCTCACCCACCACCACTACAATTTCGTCTCCGTAATTTCCTGCAGTACACCAATTTGATTATTGGTTCTTTTAGATTCACAAAAATCTATGTAATCCACATTTATATTTATATATATAAACGATTTCTTCATTTGATTTAGGAAAAAGATCATCAATTTTACCCACTTCGTTCGTTCATCTGAATTTCTCTTTTCTTTGTTATGAACGCAATCAAGGTTTACAACAATATGAAGGTTGGTTGCAGGCTTTTAATTCAAAGCCGAAGCGTCGTTCTAGGATTCATCAAATCCCCAATGTTAATTCGCAATCACCATATCTCCCCACCTGGATTTTTGGGATTACGATGTATAAATCAAGCCCAGAAACCCTTTTCTGTTACCAATCCAAATTGGGGCCAATCTAGAGTTTTTCCCGCTACCTGTTGTAGTTCTAACAAGAATGGTAGCAGTAAACCTCGTTACGTATCGGATTATTCAACAAAATTAGAAACTAGCGTGAATGACAAGAATTTCGAGAAGATTTACGTGCAGGGTGTTGATGAATTAGATGAAAAGACGCCGGTAGTGGTAGAGAAGAAAGATGAAACCGTAGATAGGGATGGGGGAGAATCTAGGTTAAAGAATGACGTACAAAATGAAAATTTAGTCTCACTAGATCCTACAGAGAGGGTAGAATCAGAGGCGGAGAAAGAAGCGTGGCGGTTGTTGAAGGAGTCAGTTGTAACGTACTGCGGCAGTCCGGTGGGGACGTTGGCCGCCAATGATGCCGGAGATAAGACGCCATTAAATTACGATCAGGTTTTCATTCGAGATTTCGTCCCGTCGGCTTTGGCTTTCTTGCTAAGGGGAGAAGGAGAGATCGTTAGAAACTTCCTCCTCCATACTCTGCAATTACAGGTAATTTTGGCGATTTTGAATGCAATTACATTTATATAGTTGTTCGTATACCAAAATCACAAATCTTTCCAACTCCATTGATGATTCTTCGTTGTTTCTTAAGAGTTGGGAGAAAACCGTGGATTGTTACAGCCCAGGTCAGGGATTGATGCCTGCAAGTTTCAAAATAAGAACTGTTCCCCTTGATGACAACAAGGTTGAAGAAGTTTTAGACCCTGATTTTGGTGAATCTGCTATAGGCCGTGTTGCGCCTGTTGATTCTGGTAAAACTTACCTTCATAACATATATACTATGATTATAATCAATTGGATTATTGATTCATGAATAAATGCAGGATTATGGTGGATTATCATGTTGAGAGCATACACAAAGATCACTGGTGATTACGCAATGCAAGAAAGGGTCGATGTTCAAACAGGCATCAAACTGATTTTGAATTTATGTTTGTCAGATGGTTTTGATATGTTTCCTTCTTTATTGGTTACTGATGGCTCCTGCATGATTGATCGAAGAATGGGTATCCATGGACACCCTTTGGAGATCCAAGTGAGCTTTTCTAATATTCATGTCATTTCCTATTTGTTGTTTTCTTTTGGCTTATTTTCTATGTTTCTTGGATTTTACAGGCGTTATTCTACTCAGCCCTAAGGTGTGCACGGGAGATGCTTGCATCAGATGAAGGATCCAAGAATTTGGTGAGGACAATCAACAATAGACTGAGTGCATTATCTTTTCATATAAGAGAATATTATTGGATAGATATGAAGAAAATCAATGAAATTTACCGATATAAAACCGAAGAATATTCAACCGAAGCAACAAACAAATTCAACATTTATCCGGAACAAATTCCTCATTGGTTAATGGATTGGATCCCAGAAGAAGGAGGTTACATGATTGGCAATCTACAACCCGCACATATGGATTTTAGATTTTTTACCCTTGGTAATATTTGGTCAATAGTTTCATCTTTGACCACTCCAAAACAAAACAATTCAATATTGAACTTAATAGAATCCAAATGGGATGATCTTGTTGGCAACATGCCTGTTAAGATCTGTTACCCTGCCTTGGAATATGAAGAGTGGCGCATAATCACTGGTAGTGACCCGAAAAATACGTGAGTTTCTTTCTTTTCTTGATTATCGCGTGTATTATATTTTACATATTTCGTCCTTGTGGTTTGTTGAAAATACGGGTTTGGTCCCTTCCTATGTTTTTGTAAACGCTAACAAGCTCTTGAATTATCGCAGACCATGGTCTTATCACAATGGCGGTTCCTGGCCAGTTCTTCTATGGCAGGTAATTTTCAGTAGACATTACTGGACTGGACAAGCTTTCTAGGGCTATTGTTATGGAGGAGGGCATTTATGTCATATCTGAATCATGGTTTTTTGTTTTATTGTGTAATTTAGTTCACATTAGCTTGTATCAAGATGGGGCGAATAGAATTAGCAAGAAAGGCGGTGGATCTTGCTGAAAGTAGATTGCATGCTGATCATTGGCCAGAATATTATGATACCAGAAATGGAAAGTTTATAGGGAAGCAATCTAGGCTTTACCAAACATGGACAATTGCTGGATTTTTGACATCTAAAATGCTTTTGGAAAATCCTGAAAAAGCGTCTCTTTTATTTTGGGAAGAAGACTATGAGCTTCTTGAAATATGTGTTTGTGCTCTTACAAAAACAGGCAGGGCAAAATGCTCTCGTGGTGCTGCCAAATCACAGATTCTCGTGTGACAACAAAACCCTATTCCTATTGCGTTGTTGTACAGTAATACGATATCAAATTTTAGAGTAAGTTATAGATATAGCAGTATATAAAAAAAAAAATCAAATACTGCAATTTTTTTGTATTTGATATCATTTATACCCCATATTGTTTTCTTCTCCGATTAATTGAGCCAGTTAATCGAGTAATATGAATCATAAGTTACAACCTTCTTTTGTGGGATATGTAGGATTATTTTTGTTCTCCAATTTAACTATGTTTCTGATGCTTGACAAGGTTGGACTGGATTAGCCAGGCTTTGTAGAACTATTTTTTATGATTATGATGACTAGGGGTATTTTCGTCACAAGAGATTATTTTCCACACGAGTCTTATGGTTTATTTGCCGGTCTTAGAAAATTAGACAGAAAATTAGAATCTTTGTTCATGTCATATGGAATTGGGACCAAATCTTGAATTTTACACGAGAATATCAAGAACTTAAACCAAAGAAGAGGCCAAAAGCTATAGAATTTATGCCCATAAAAGGGTTGCAGAAGATAATTTAATAATCCTACTTGATCTAAATAAAGTGCACAGAAGGTGCTACTAAAATTAACAATCAAAACAATTAAATTAAACTTTCTACCAGAAAATCAAAGCTGTTTATAGGATCTGATCAGAAAGTGGTGGGAGTCGCCGGAAAAAGTTGACTGGAAGCGACGGCATGTCCCCCCTGAACCGAGGGTGGCGCATGTAAAAGAATCCCCACCCCAAAAGAAAAGCCTTAAATGGTACAATATAGAACACCATTGACGCCAACAAACAAACCACGACAAATATTCCAGTGGCCCTCGGGTCTCTCCAACTGCATAACGCCTCCAACCTCTCTCCCTGTGCCGCCACGTCACCAAGCAGTGTCTGAGCCCGACCCGCTAGAGCCCGTAACCGGTCATACCGGATACGGATCTGATCCGCTGATTTCAAACTCGGAAACCCGTCAAATTCCTCATCAAGCTCTTCAGGCCCAACCGAATCCACTTGCGAGAGTCTCGGGTCCATTGTAACTGGGACCCGAGTCCGGTATCGGTATCTTAATGATATAATCAAGAATGCGTACAAGCAAACTGTTGGCAGGATCAGATGTGGGCACAGAATTATAGCCATCAGAAGCACATGAACTAGAACCGTTGTCGGTGGGTGAACCCATGTGCGGATCGACTCGAGCCACCTAGCCAAAGTGGCTGCTTTTGACAAACACCCAACGATTCGAAACCAATTTGACTTACTTCTCCTCATACTCCAAGTGTGAGTATCCGAATCCAACATAAACTGGACTACTTCTTGACCCAAGGCTGGTTCAGATCGAGCCAGCCTTGCAATCACAATCTTCATAGCATTATGCCTCAACATATCTTGCTGCATAGGCCCCAAAGGACGAACATAGTGCATCCGCGGAAGCATTGGAGTCGAATAAGCTTGGAGTAGACTAATCCACGAAGAACACGAGAATCTCACTGCAATCTCAATCTCACCCATTTTCTTGGCGCCACCTGGGAGGAGCACGATAAGAGAATATGAACCCACGTACACACGATTTGTGTCGAGAGTCGACAGTCGTACCCTAAGCTTTCCGAGTCGTACATCTTTACTCGGTTTGTCGTCTCCTTCTCCTTTTTGATACCTCCCGTTGTCAAACACACCGATCGTGAGCACAGTGCACGGGTCGTATACATCCCATGTGTACTGCTCGTTCCACCGTGGATTAAACCGATCAAGGATAGTACGGGTGCGGACCCACTTGGGTCCGTATTTGGCAACCACGTAGGAATCTGTAGTGCCACGTGTACCGTCTTTTGTTTTCACCGGAAGCAAATTGGTTGCCCCACGGATTCCAACCTCGAGCAATCCGATTGGTGGTTTCGATAGCTGTTTTGCGGTGGGCCGGACATCACTGGTCACGTGAGCTGCCTCGTCAAGCACGTGATAACCACCTTCCAAACAAACTCCAACATGAATTCTACCTGCGTAGGGCCTACTTTCATCTCCAACTAAATTGAACCATCTTGACCCAAGCGTTGACTGGTCGTCTGTGCGCCTGTCTATGCTAGCTACCTGCACCTTCGCATGTCCAACAGTTTGACCGTTGGATGCATCTTCCACTGTGATCACCAAAAACGGCTCAAACGGCTCGGCGGCGACGAAAACCAAATCTTCATTCCACGTAGGATTCGACGAAGTGCTGGAGGACCCGACCGTTGTCCGGTTCGTTTTAAACAGCTGTGGCCCGAGTTGACCTTTTACAAACAATTCCGGGTTTTTTATTTTAGGCTCGGGTCCCGAGCCTAGCTGCAAGTCCTGGGTTTGGATGACCGTTAGTCTCAAATACCACAGCTTCGGAGAGAGGTAGACTTTGGCTCGGGTCTCCGGAATCAACCCGCCGGAATCCGATTGCCATGCCTCCTGAAACGCCTCGTCGGCTTGTGTCCCTAACCAGACGGCGAGCATGATATCAGTTGCCGGAGAATTCTCCGGTGAGCCGTCGAGAGTGTACCATTGTGGAGCTAAAGGACTGTCTGGTGGCACTCTTTTTGGTACTTCCGGCAAATCAAACGTCACCGTTCCCAAACAACTCTCCAAGATTTCTTCTTTGCCTTCTTCTACTACTTTCTTCTTCTGATCGAATACAGAAACTTCTAGAGAGGTTGAGTTGAGACCTTCTTTGTCAAATGCAAAAACCTGATCCCAATCTTTGCTTGTACCTTGTGCTTTGATGTTGATACTGTGAGTTCCGATCGCTAGCTTCGCATAGTACATCGTTGAGTCATCGGAATCCTTTTCCGCTCGTTTTGCTTTTACAACCCTAACGTAGAGAAATGGCATCCGATCAACGAGATCGAAGGCGGTGCTTCCACGGTGATGATTGGAAAGCGAAACCGCATCAGAGCTCATATTTGACGGTTTTCTGGCCAACTGAAGGCTCTGTTCAGCCTGTTTTGGTTTAGGCGACTGAGCTACAGCAGTCTCCACAGGAGGAGGTGGCGCGGGTGGCGTTGCAGCTGCCGCTGCATCAGTGGATGGGGTAGCGGGAGCCACCGGTGGAGCGTCTTCTTTTTTCTGATCCTCTGGCGGCTTTTCCTCTTTCTTTTCTCCTTCATCCGCTGGTTTTTCTTCGGTTTTTGTCTCCTCCTCTGTTTTCTTCTCCTCCGGCGGCTTTTCCTCTGTTGCTGCTGGCGGTGTTTCAGCCGCCTCAGGCTTCTGCTCTTCCGCCGCTGGAGCTGCCGGAGGATCTTCATCTACATAACAAATCTTAAGCCCGATTTCACCTTTAATCTGCGAGAAAACACTCCTCTTCTCCAAAGGATAATAAACCAAAGCCTCCGACCCACACTTGGGAAAAGTACCTCCAGCGATTTTCACTTTTCCGAGGAAAGTGCTCCTCTTACCAGTTTTTTTATTATCATTGTAAACATTAAGTTCAAGAATCTCCGTCGCCATGGACGCAATATCATGAACAAGAAACTCAACCTTTTCATCCCACTGAGGGTTCAGATCTCTGGAAATCGTCTTCGTCCGTCGCCGCTGACCATCGAAATCGACGATTACGTAAGCACTCGCAGTCCCTTGTCCATCTTTAGGCATCAAATTTTTTGCATTACAAACCTCCACCATTATCTTTCGATTAGCCATATTTTCAAGATTTAACAAATCGAATAGCACAGATGAAACTGAAATCGAAATCAAGACAATGAATTGGTTTTAGATAAAAAGAAAGATTGGGGGAATTCTGAATGAGAGAGAAATTGTGTGAAGGGTTTAAGAAGGGGAGAAGAGAAGTAAATGACAGATTAGTAAAGTACAAGGGTTCATGTGGAAATGACTGTACATGTGACCGTTGTGCTATGGTTTTTTTTGTTGTATTGATCAAAATAATATTTCCATGATCTCTTAAACTTTTTGCATTCTTTCTAAAAACACAATTTTCATTTCCATCCACTTGTTTATTAAAATAAATTAAATTATATATTCTATTAGCAAAAAGTTAATATAAAATAGTTTGAGGCAATACGCAATATCTTCTTCATCCCATATTTTCATTATGTGATTAAATTTAATTTAATTACATAATCAAATTTGGTCAATCAAAATGTGACCATTCACCTCTTAAATAATCATTACAATAATATTTTTTTTAAAAGTGACCCATTTTATCTACTGGACCTTCCATTTTTATCATGTGTGTGATTAACTCTAAAAATCTTTAATAATGCTATATTTCACTCTCATAAGTCATAAGTCATAATTATCATTATGATTTCCGTTGAATATAGTATGATAAAAACATTTTGGTACAATTAATATTCTCTTTGTCAAATTATTTCTTTTTTCTTTTGTCAAGGCCCATAATTTACATCCTTCCTAATAAATGAAAATAATTTTGATACATGTTGCTCTTTCATTAACTTAGACACATGTTATTTTTTGGTATTTTTAAATAATTGTTTTTTCCATTTGACATTTTTTCATTTTTTTTTTTATATTTTCTTAACTAACACATCATATTTACACCTCAATTAATAATTACCTTAATTGAAAATAACCAATAAATTACAATATTAATATTGATATAGTATTTAATATGTTTCCTTTTAAATTTAAATTTTAAATTTCAAATTTAAATTAAATTTTATTTAAACTTTCATATTTAATTTTTTGTTTTATCAAATCCGTATAACATACGGATCTCACACCTAGTTTATTATCTCATTAGTGATTAGATAATTATTATGATTATGTGAATACCCTAATGTCTCATAAAAACTTAAGCATAAAATTAGGACTTAGGAGAGTATATCATAGTGGTCATTTTATTTATATGTTCTTACACTTTTGATGATAAGTTTATTGTAAAAAAAACGATATTTTAGTTAGTGGGGTGCATTTGGGATTATAAATAGCAAAAAGCCACGGGGGAAGCACGTGAGGAAACAGCGAGCATAGCGGGTGCAGGAAGATCCGGCCGTTATGTTGCGTTTTGGGAATTGGGATTTGATACACGAACGGTTTCATGCATTTATATATAGTTAAGGAAATACTTTTTAAAAAACCTTCAATTTTGTTCTTTTAGACATGCAAAGTTTTATTAATTCAACTTAGGATCTGTTTGCTTTATAGAATGGTTTTTTAACAAATTAAAACTATTAAAAAAGCTTTACATGATGAAAAAGTTAGATTTATGTCACACGTTTTCTTGTTGAGAATGAAATCAAAGTGGTAATGGCCTTCGATTTTTGCCAAAGTCTCATGCATTCATACATTTATTTACAGGGAAAATGACACGTAGTGCTATATGTTCTTAGATTTTATTTTAAAATGCCACTTTATAACTACTTCACAACCACTTAACTTAGAAATATCGATCACTCTACCACACAAAAATACTTCCAATTCTATAATATAAAAGAGCGAGATACTCGTATTGACAATGGTTAACAAGTTTTTTCACTATGTGATTGTAACTATAAATACACTAGCAATCAATGTGAATAAGATAAGCAATTCGTACCGGTTTCATGGGGTTTCATGGTATCAGATGTTTAAAAAACCTAAAACCCTAGAAACATGGAGCCGACGGAAGACTTTAATATTTTGAACAATATAAAACAAGTTTATAACCTACCAAAAATCTTATTACAAAGTTTGGAAATAAAATAACTACCAAAGAAGAAGAAAAACATAACAACATTTGTAGTCATTGATGGAGAAAGTTGATGGAGAATAGATGAATTTTTGAGACACCAACAATAATTCAAATTAATGATGATGTTTGTCTTTAAATTCTTAAGAGCTTAAGTTTTAATTTTATAACCAAAGTATGAAATCAAAGAGAGCAAAATGCAAGTGTTCTTTAAGTGTAAAAGCAAAAACAAGAAATAATGAGTATGTCAGAAGTGCTATATATCAAAATGGTCCCGCCATCCGGTGTTTTTTGTCTGACCCTTATCTGTATATAGTGGTTGAGAAATATTATTTCATGCTTATATAATAGTACTAATAGCAAGACTATTAATTAGTCTCGGTGAATATTAGACTAAACTCTAGTGGTAATATGATACTAGGTTTTGTCAAAAGAAAATTGTGTTAAGAGTAACGAAGTATTGTCCGAGTGTCGAGTCACCACCTTTTCAAGTGAGTGCATGGTCTCTTTCATCTTACACATAGATATGAAGTATTTAATATAAATTATATGTTATGTGTGCATATTGTCTGTATACTTGCCGTCTATGCTGGGTGAAAGATTTTTATACATATTTTAAATGATTTAAACAATATATGTATTTTATATCTACAAAATGTGTTGGGTAAAACATAGGTAGATGAAATAGTTGTTGTGTGACAAAAACAAAATGTTGAGAGGTGATATAGACCATGAGATAAGGGTGAGAGGTGAACCATGAGAGAAGCCTTTTACCCAAGTGTTGGCCCCGTCATCTAGCAGAATATGGATGACAACCACAGACTATTCTAGGCAGTCCAGTGGAACACTAGCAGACTCGCAACCTGTAGGTGTTATTTAAACTATGTATTCACCAGGTGTACTCTAAAAACCCATTGACATGTATTGCGAGTGGATTCTCGGAAACGATATTGTCGATAAACGAGATAACCTGGCAGCTATGGATTTAGTTCCTATTGAGCAAACCCAGACAACGATGGATTTCGTGCCTATTCCTTAGGATAATCCTTAGGAAAGAATGAACGAGGAATAGCTAATTCTTAGGGTAAATCCTTAAGAGTAAAGAAGATAATGGGGATGGGTAATTGGGTTAATTGTTTGATGGTTAAACATAATAATTATATTATTGTGGGTTGAAAACCCTATGTACTCACAAGGTTCCCCAACCTGACCCACTCAGTTTATTTATATCACATATGTTGATATGAAGTCACATTACACTGAGAGATTAGGAGATATAAATCACTAGTGATAATGAATGTAAGTTCTTTTTTTGCTTATGTTTTTATATTGACGATGACATCCCAAATGTTTTAAAATGAATAAAAATACTTTTTTTTTGGAAATTCAGCAACATTTTTGTTAAAAGAGGTACTCTGATTTTTATAAAGCATAAACAAAAATCAGTCTTTTCTGACCGTAAAAATGGGGATGTCACATCCATCATCATAAAGAAAATCAAAAACCATGTATCTCAAAACATCATATCAAATATTGTATCGAAATCATATGAGAAAATATTAGAGTCTAAAACAATCCCAGGCTGAAACTATGGTGTGTGTCATCCGATCATCCCGAGCCCTTCCCTTTGCTAGTTGAAGTACCTGAAAGCAAACTAAAAACTGTAAGCATGAAGCTTAGTGAGTCTCTCCAAACTACCCCATACCATACATATATACATGCAACTAGGAGATACAGGACCCGCCCACACTCCGCTAACTGGGAGATACGGGCCCCGCCCACACTCCGCTGACTATGAGATACGGGCCCGCCCACACTCGGCTACTATGAGATATGGGCCCTGCCCACACTCGGCTATTGTGAGATACGAGCCTCGCCCACACTCGGCTACTATGAGATACGGGCTCCGCCCACACTCAGTTACTAACATACATACATGATGTTATGAGATACGAGCCCAGCCTACACTCTACTAACTAGGAGATACGGGCCCTGCCCACACTCAGCTACTGGTCATACACATAACATATACGGGTCGGGCTTACTGCCTTCGACCCGTTCTACTAGAGGAAAACTCACCTTGCAAGACTGACTGCTGAAAACTTGAGTGAGGAATCCTTGTTTGCTGCTCCGACGACTCTCCGGCTATCAATTCTATAATAACACTTAATCAAAATCTAATAGTCCTTTTTAGGATAAAATGACCATTTTATCCATGGTCAAAGTAAAAGTCAACATCCTAGCTAAAGTCAAAGTCAAGGTCAACTCCCAATCAACCCAACTCGTCGAGTTATCTCCTAACTCGGCGAGTCCCTGTACTGCTAAACTTGTGGTTGACTAAGTCAACTTGCCAAGTCCCTTACAGACTCGTCGATTTCTTCCTATCATAATCATCGGTACAACCTGCTTCAATTCGTCAAGTCCTTCTCTGGACTTGCTGACTTCCCCTGTCTGAATGAGCCATCCAAAAGGATTAAGCTCCTACCTTTCAGATCTATGTTCCAAACTTCTTCTATATACTGGAAATCCACTCTTAAGGGTAAAATTTCCAACATTACCCGTCCTTAGTCCTTCTTAATAGGGTTTAACCCAAACACTAGCTTCTTTAAGGTATAAAGTTTGCACATGAGTACGATGTTCTTGCATGCATGGTCTTTTAGGGCTAAAATACGATGTTCTTGCATATAAGCTTGCATGGGGCTACCATGGTCATAAAGTTTGCACCTTTATGCCATGGAACCCTTCCAGGACTCCAGATCTAAGATATAAGTCACTTGGGACATTCTAATCCCAAGGATCAAGGTTCTTGAACCAAAACCTTCATAAAATGGGAACAAAAAGATCTAAGAGGAGAAGGATCAAGTTAGAGACTTGATTACTAGAAAATACAGCTAATGGAGTGTAGTACTTGGATCTACTCCTCCCCCTTGAGGATTCTTTCTTCTTCTTCTTGCACAATCTTCAAAACGCACAAATCACACTCAAAATGGTAAGATACAGTTCAATATCACTCAAGGTAGATTAGGGTTTCGAGATTGGGTTGTGGAGGTGATGGAGGTTGGGGTGGAGACCTGTTATGATGCTTAAATAGGGTTCAAGCCCTAAATATTAGGGTTTCCTCCTGACGTACCTACTCGTCGAGTCAAGGCTTACGACTCGTTGAGTAGACCACTTAAGACCCGCATCCAATCTGGCATCTACTCAACGAGTTAGGGCTACCAACTTGTCGAGTAGCTCAAAAAAATTAAATACTTAAATAGATTAAATGCATACCAGGAACGAGACGTTACAATATATATATATATATATATATATATATACACACACACACACACACACATAAAAGTTTATATGAAACTGAAACTTTTATTAAAATAAAAAAGACATGTACACTTGAAATTTAATAAAACACAACAAACTTGAAATTAAAATAAAACACAAGACACTTGAACTTAAATCAAAGGAAACATTAAAACAAGTTTAAAATAAAAATAAAACACAAGACAATTTCATTCGACATATTGACGCCATTTATCTGACCTCTTCACACTTTTCAAAAACTCAACAAATCAAAAAGGTATGTCGCTTTCTACATGGAGAGTTTGAAGAACATTGGCTAACATCATTCCATCATTTTCACAATTTACTACATCACACCTCACCCTGTGAAACACAATGTGAAACTATACTCACACTGCGTTTGTTTTTCTCCATTTAGCAAAGAGTTTACTTTGGTGGTGCACTTTACCTACTCTGCGATTGTAGTGTTGGGTGATTCTTCTCCAGAAATGAAACATCCCAAAAATCATGACCATAAATTTCATTTTTAATTATCAATACAAGCATAGTTATCAAATCATCACATAAAATAATAAGTCTTTATATCTCAAAACATAATAATCATCTATCAAATATATTAGAGTAAATACATCTCAGGCTAAACAAATGGTGTGTGCATTGTAGTCATCCTGAGCTCTTCCCATTGCTACCGAAAATACCTGAAACCAAAGCTGAAAATTGTAAGCACAAAGCTTAGTGAGTCTCCACAAACTACCACATATCACTACAAGAAAAATACCCTTTAATGACGCGCAAACAATGACACTCGCAGATTTACAATACGCATTTTTGTGTGTCCATAAAAATAATGTTAGGTTTCCAAAAACTGAAGGATAGAGGTCACGCATTTTTGCGTGCCCTTAAATTAGTGTCTAAAAAAAAGAAAAGAAAAACACGGAGGGCACCTAACGAAAAAAGGGCGTCTTCTAAGGGTGTCGTTTTATATTTTTTTAGGAAGGGCGCGTTCTCCATTTTTTTAATAGCCGGGAAATGAAATCCCAAAAAATTTAACACCCCGCCATTTATCTCCTTCTTCTCCAATGAACCCTAATAGAATTGTGATGCTATTAATCCTTTTGAAGCAGCCCGTCTTCCTCTACCTCTGCACTCTCTATCCCTTTCCATTTGGAAGCCTAACCGCGACCACCACCATCGAACCCCATCATCTCTAAGAGTTCAGAGTGCATCTGATGAAATCGACAGTTGGATCAACTCCGTAATCGGCGACGACTACCGCTGCTTCTTTCGCTCGTATTCCGACCGCCACCACCTTCTCTTTCCAGTTATCGGCATCCATAAAGGCAACAACATGCTTGTCATCGTCGGATTTATTCTTTGCGCTACCCGGTTTCCCCTCTCATCACACATTTTCTTTCTCCTGACCTTACTTGTTAATCATCTCATCAGATCTCTGCTCTAGTGTCACTCTAAGATCAAGAAATTTCAAGCCCGAGTCTCCCTCTGAGACAGAGACGAAAAGAGAAGAAACATGAAGATGCTCGCACGCCTTTTTCTGGTCATCCTTTTACCTAGTTGTTGTTTCTTTCATCGTTCCTTCCGATTGGTCTTCTTCTTCATCACCATCTACTGAACGACTCATTGATTTTGGCGATTATGGCTTCGAATTCAGTTCCATCCAATTCTCCAACAGATTTCTCATTTGTTCTCCATAAATCCCCCTTTACCACCATTACATTTGCAGCCACACGACAACCACTCATCGTTATTCGTAAGTCCATCACCATCTTCTGAAGCAAGTTGAAATAGGAACCAACAATGCGAATGCTGAAGTTAGAGTGATTCCCGATGTTCAAGTGAGATTATTTCCATTTACCTATATAAATCTCGATTGTGCTCTCTTTTCTCCTCTCTCATCCCAACATCGCCATATCAATATTGAATTGAAATCTTCTACAATTTCTTTTAGGGTTTTCTTTGTCTTGTATCTCTCTTAATCCTCTGGAACAAAGCTATCAAAATTCGGGATCTCCAAGTTTCAATCATGAATTTCATACAAAACTTGGAAGCTTTTGAAGATTTAGTCGAGTAATTTCTTGTTAATCCTTCACCCTCCATAGATAGCCAATGTTGTAATTTTAGTCGTATTTCTGCCTGCCTCTTCTTAAAATCTTGATAAAGTGAGTTAAATGGAGAAAATAATTGTTAGGGTATTGACCAAATGGTATTTGCACAAGCAAATATCACAAGGGACAACACCAAGTTTGTAAATGGAGCAATTGTTGGGGAGAGGAATGTCTTTCACATCAGTGAATCTAGTCTTGTCTTGTTGTTGCATTATTATTATTGTAAGTGTTGTTGTATTATCATTATTATTAAAAAAAATAAACCCCCCTAAATGTATCAATTCATATTAAGGCTAATTTAATTTATTATTTAAAAAACAAAAATCAATTTATTTGCTTTGCTGTTATTGCCTATGATTGGGAACAATATATTAAAGCAATCTAGTGTTTGATGGTGCAGGGAAAGTATTTGATTTTATAATCTTTTTATTTACCCTAGCTTTGTTCACTGGTTATATCATATGGCAGGAAACATGTTGTTTTTGGTAAGGTAACAAAGGGAATGGAGACAGTTAAGAAGATTGAGTTGTTGGGAACAAGTGATGGAAAACCTTCTGGTGTGGTAAAAATTGTGGATTGTGGCGAAGTTATTGAAGATAAGAAGAACAATGTGGTGGAATCCGTAAAAGGTATTGTTGTTGTTATTTATTAACCATGAATAACATTTATTTGATTATATAATTTATTGTTACATTTTCTTTATAGGTAAAAAGAAAAAAACTGTGAAGAAAGATACTTCTTCTGATGACAGTTCCGATAGGCGAGTAAAAAAACGCCGTGGATCAACTATCAGGGAGAAATTGAGGAAATGAAGGAAGTCCTCACCATCTGATTCAAATTCCGACTCTTATTCTTCGGAGAGTGATTCCGATTCCGATTCGGAGTCCGAATCAGAAGCTGATTCCGATTCTTCAAGTTCATTTGCTAGTGGTAACAGGAGGAAGAAGAGATCAACAAAGAAAGAAGTCAAACAACGTAAGAACAAACGAAAAGAAAAGAGACGGTTGTCTGGCAAAAGATCAAAAAGAAGGTCCAAATAGTTGCTTTTGATATATATATATATATATATATATATATATATATATATATATATATATATATATATATATATATATATTAATATTGTATTTGTAACTTGTAAAAGTGGACTTACTTTAGGAGCTCTGGGAGTTCAAGAGAAACAGAAAGTGGAAGTAGTAGTTCTGATGATGGAAAAGCAAATTGACGTGTTGCAAAGGCCAGAAATAGACCTCCAAGTACTTCTGCTGTACTTTTTCCCCTTCTTTTTAAGGGCATATTGCAGGAAATAACAACATACTATACTCTTTCTACCAATATAGGCATTGTATTGTATTTTTACCCATAATAACAATATAGCAATGTTGGATTTTAATCTTGATAGCTTGTTTTTAGTAGCAACAAACTTATATTTTCTTTACAGATAGTAGTATTATGTAGTAGATAACTTAAAATGCTCGTATATATATGTAGAAAATGCAACATTGCCATTTTGGGTAAAAATAAAGTACATTGCTATTATGGTAGGTATAACTTATAAGTGTTATTATAAGTAAAAAAAAATAATAAAAAACATTGCTATTATTGGTAAAGAGACGTACGTATGTAAGTAGGTTGCTGCTATGGGTAAAAAATAAAGTACAAAGCAAATTTCGGTTTTCCTTACTCAACTGTTAGTGAGATAGATGCTTACAGATCTTGTTATGTAATATGTAGTGAGGAAAAGTTTACCATATCTGTCACGAAAGGAACCTGAATCAAAGGTGGAAATTAAGGATCAAATTTCAAAGAAAACAACCTTAGAAGAGCAAGAATTTGTTAAAAATGGGGTTGTAAAGGAGAAGGAGAAGGAAAAAAGAGCTTCAATTACTTACTGCATAACCTACATTTTGAGTTGCATCACCAAGCATTCACCTCAGTACAGAATTCTAATGGTGGGGCGTATATTGGGAGGGATTGCCACCTCTCTCCTCTTTTCAGCCTTCGAATCATGGCTTGTTGCTGAACACAACAAGGTGAGATATAATATTACATTTCTAAATACACCCTTTATATTGTGTATGGTTCTAATGCTCTTGTTTTGATGCATCTGTAGAGAGGTTTTGAGCAACAATGGCTATCAATTACATTCTCCAAGGCAATATTTCTTGGGAATGGACTGGTTTCCATTTTAGTTGGTTTATTTGGAAATCTTTTAGTTGGTTCATTGGCCATGGGACCTATTGCTCCATTTGATGCAGCTTCAATCTTTCTTGCCAATGGAATGGCCATCATCATATCATCATGGACTAAAAATTATGGTGACTCATCAGAAAGAAAAGATCTAATGACCCAATTCAGGGGTGCTGTTGTTGCAATTGCATCAGGTCTCTCTCTCTCTCTCTCATACATATACAGGAGAAGCATGAAGAATCCAAAGTGGCAATCTTGTAATTATGCATACATATCATTCTGCCTTCTAAATTTGGACCTAATAGTTTCTTTTTTTGTGTAAAAACAAATAAAAGGATAGCATTATTGGGTGCAATACAATCTTTATTTGAGGGTTCAATGTACACTTTTGTGTTTCTATGGACACCTGCTTTAAGCCCAAGTGGTGAAGACATTCCACATGGTTTCATTTTTGCTACTTTCATGTTATCTTCCATGTTAGGAAGCTCTTTAGCTTCTCAGTTATTAGCACACACACTGACATACATTGTTATTGTGTTGTGTCGTGTGTGTATGTATGTGTGTGTGTATATATATATATATATATATGTGTGTGTGTGTGTGTGTGTGTAAAATCAAGATTCACTTTCCACTCGGACAAAAATACTCTTCCGGATTATTCCGAATTATTATGACCATTTTGCCCTCATAGCAATTTTGATATTAACATACATGCGCACATTTCTTTTAGTGTAGATTTTGTAAAAGAGAAATGACAACAAAGAAGATAAGTATCTCTTGTTGTTTGTATATATACACTTTTTCTTCTTGTTTAATAACTTAAAAACTATATAAATGTGAAAATTGAAGGTTCACACACTGTTAAAAGGATTGGAAAAGATAATTGCAAGTGCAGATATTCCAATGTTCGTCTGTGGTGACTTCAATTCAGTTCCAGGAAGGTATGTGTCATTTCTGCTACATTTGTTATGTGTGTTGTGTGGCCAACAAACATCTGTTTTCATTACTTTGGTGTATGTAATTATTAATCCACAGTAATTCCATGGATTTACTGTGTTTTTGGATTGTCCTATAGGTAGCATCTCAGCTTCTGATTAATTTGGTGTACTATTTTGGCAGGTTGATCTCTAGGGCCTGCTAGAAGGATTGGATATTGCAGTTAAGCATCTATCTAAGACTTCACGGCAAGGACTTGATGAATATAAGTTAGCAATGTTTTACTTGATTTGGACGTGAACAAGACTCAAGCAAAAGCAAGACTCATACTTTGGCATGGCTAGAAGCTTTGGAGGAAACAAGACTCAAGCAAAAGCAAACACACAGAGAGTTGTTGGCACATAGTAAGCTAGATAATGCGATTGTATATAAATTCTACTTCTCTTAAGTTCATTTCTTTTATTACAATTACTCAATATTGGAATAATTATTTGTATTTGACATATTAGTGAAATGAATTATCTTTGTTATTTATGGTATTTTATTTTGTATTATGATATTTTTAATGTATTATTTAATTTGAAAATTAGTAAATCAATAAAATAATATATTTTTTTAAAACATTTAAAATTATGATACGCAAAAATGTGTGTCATCTTCCTTTATGACATGGCCTTTCTTGATAGGGGCTTTCTAGATACGCATTGCGTGTCATTAACACGCGCGTCGTAAGGTTACGACACGCGAATGCGTGTCGTCTTCATTTATGACAGGGCCTTCCTTGATACGTATTGCGTGTCGTAAATGCGCGACGTAATTGTGCGTCGTAAATGAGCGTCGTAAATGCACGTCGTCTATAGACGACGTGCAAAAGCGCGTCGTCTCTCTTTATGACAGGGCCTTCCTTGACGCGCATTTGCGCGTCGTCTGAGCCTTTTACGACGCGCAATGAGCATCGTAAAAGGATGTTTTTCTAGTAGTGTATCATACATATAATCACATAATGACATACATTGGGCCTTGCCTGCTACATCAGGCCCCGCCCGGCATCAGACCAAAGTCCGACATCGGGCCCCGACTGGCATCAAGCAAAGTTCGGTATACATTAAACATATCAACAAATACACATCAATAATCACATAACATAAACATATAAACATTCCTCGGGCCCACCCGACATCAGACCGAAATCCAGCATCGGATCGAAATCCAGAAACATATAAACATTCCTCGAGATTTCCCCGGCATCGGACTGAATTCTGGAACACATAATACATGAACATGCAAGAATCACGAAGACACCAGGCATACAAACATTCCTCGAGCTTTCCCAGGAATCAAACCAAGGTCCAGAAACACATACACAACTACATCGGGCACTACCCGTCATTGTACCCTTGTCCAGAATATGCTACCATACATAAACGGGTCGGCATTGGTGCCTTCGGCCCATTCCGTGTAACACCCTGATTCCTGGATGTGGGGCTTGAGGATTTTGTGCAAGTTAAAGGGCCTACTCGGCTAGTTAGTTGGCCCAACTCGTCGTGTAGGAATTGATCTGGATGTGCGAGTTATGAAGCCTACTCGCCGAGTTGGAGAGCTGTACTCGACAAGTGAGGCCGTTTAGAGAAAACCCTAATTATTTAGGTTTGCACCATATTTAAAGGACTTTAACTCCTTTACCCTGCTTCCCTCATCACCTTATCACGTCTAGAGAGAAACCCTGGTGAGCGAGCCCATATTTTGAGTGTGAAGCCAAAAGTGTGCATTCTTGGAGGAAGCTTGAAGAGTGAAGAGCTTGGAACAAGAAAGAGTTTTTAGATCTAGCATTCATACAGTTGTAGTATCTATTTGGAGGAAAAAAGTCCATACCTTGGCTTGACATTTCTTATATCTCTTCTTGTGTGAGTTTATGGGTATTTTGGTGCAAAAGGAGGGCCATTTTCCGGTTGAGCTTGTCCAGGGGGAGTAGTTACAGATCTGGACTCCTCTAAGGCGACGAACCCAGGATTTCGTAGTAGGTGTTGCCGATGGCACATTTTTCCTTTTACGCAGTGGCATAAATGTAGAAGAAACGAAAATTTCGGAAAATTTTACACTGTATGCAAAAAAAATAAGGGGTTGCCAGTGCCACTATGGGCACCATAGTGGAACCGTCCCTGCTCTAAACCCTCATGGACATGAAGTCTCAAGCTTTATGAAACTTTGACCCTTCTTCATGTCCTAAACCCCTTCTTGAGCATAATTTTGGGTATTCTAGCCTTGTGAGCCTTGCATGATCGTAAAGTTAGCAACTTTACATGGTAACTCCATGCTAGGAGGTTAGCTCTGGAGTTTGGAGCACTGGAATCGACTGAAATGAGAATTGGCTAGAGAACTCAACGAGTTGGGCATCCAACTTGACGATTTTAGACGATTTTACCCATTTGTGGATTTAGAGTGAACTCGACGAGTTATTGGGACAATCGACGAGTAGATGTGATTTTCCCGGTCTTCTGGACACCATGTTGATTCGAGGAGTTGGTGAGACAACTCAGCGGGTTGACCCGAGTTTTCCCGATTTTTTTCCTGGGAATAGAGGGAACTCGATGAGTCGCATAGATGCACTCGACGAGTTGAGTCAACACGGAATATTGACTTGAGTGTTGACTCCCGTGGACTTTTAGGGTTTGACCAAAATATGAAGTTTAGAGATCAAGGAGAGGTAAAATGGTCCTTCACCCTTTTTGGAGATTTAGCAATGGAGTTAGCTTAACAATTTAAAGTTATTGATAAATTGCTAATTAGAGGTGATTGTGATATATGTAGGCAGAGTCTAGACCCGCAGTTTGAGTACGAGACATATCTGCTTTACTTAGGAGGTGACTCTTCTCACTATACTTACTTAAGCGGTAATACAGTGTGATCGGAGGGTCTTATTTGAGTTATCGACCGGATGGTCCTATGTGATTATACTGAGTTATGTGATATTATGAATTTTGTCTTTGTGATATGTACTATATTATTATGTGCCTTACTGAATAGGACTGGAGGGTCTAACCCGAGTTATGAGACCGGAGGGCCTTCAACGAGATACAAGACTGGAGGGTCCGACACGAGCTGTGAGATTGGAGGGTCTTCAATGAGATACAGAACTGGAGGGTTCAACTCGAGCTGTGAGACCGAAGGGTCTTCACTGAGATACAAGACTGGAGGATCCAACCCGAGCTGTGAGACAGGAGGGTCTTCATTGAGACACATGACCAGAAGGTCCACACCGAGCCATGAGACCGGAGGGTCCTCACCGAGACGCATGATCGGGGGTCCATATCGAGCTATAGCCATGAGAGACTTATTATTTATGTATGTGGTATTTTGGGGAACTCACTAAGCTTCGTGTTTACCGTGTTGTGTGATATGTGTTTCATGTACTTCTCAGGATCGCGAGATGGCGACGACTTGATTTTACACACCTGTTTGAGATTATGTTTGAGGATTCTAGGATATTATCAGTCATTTTGTTGATTTGTGTTTTTAACAACTGATACATTTGTGGTTTTTGAGAAATGTGATATTGAGTTTTATGTGGTTTAAAAATGAAAATTTTTGTTTGAAAATTTAGAATGTAACATTACAGAGGGGGAGGTGGCGGTTAGCTAAGAAGCGATAGTTGCTTGGAAGCTTAGGTTGATCGGAAGCGAGTAACTGACTGTTAACGACGTCCGACAGTGGTGGTGGCGTTTCGATGGCGAATAGGCAGTCGATCGGTCCCAACAAGGCGGCGGTTGAGAGGTTCCATGATGGTGGTGGCTGGAGATATAGCGGATTAGGTTTAGGATTGATGAGAGGGAAGGAATGTCGGATCTAAATCTCGTGCCTCCTTTCAAACTTATGCTCTTTTCCAATTTTAGCCCCTCCCCATAAAATCTTTTTCATCTCAACTCTCAAACTTACCAAACAACACCTGTCTTCTGAAATCTTTACAATCAAGCTCCAGATTTTACCCCTTTAGCCCCTGCTACCAATAATCTGTCCAACTCATATAATTTAGATTGTAAATTTCCGAACTTATAACATTTAGCTCCGAAGACTAACATTAATAAATTATTATGGATTCAAGGCTTCGATTATATATATATATATATATATATATATATATATATATATATATATATATATATATATATATATATATATATATATATATATATATCATTTACATCTCGGGGTTTATTTTTTCATTTATTTTATTTAGTATTATTCATTTAATTCCAAATGGAATGTTACAAGAAAAAATTCCTAGTGGTGATCTTCATTTATATCGACGCATACACGATCCAAAATGATATCTTCATTCGTGCTCTAAATACGAGCCATTTTGAGAGATGGGGATGGTTTGAAGGTGGTGGAATATAAAGAAGGTTGGGGGAGATTAATTAAGAAGCTTGAGTGTGATGGAAAATAAGGACTAATGTTGGTATTTATAGTGGTTGTTGAATGGTTTAAAAATTGAAATTTTGAAAAATAAAATAGTTATATTTTGAAAATTGGGGTATTTTTTTTTTGAAAAATTTGGTAGTTTTTTAAAGTGACAAAAAAAACTCGACTACTCTCTCTCTCTCTCCCCTCTCTCTTTATATATATATATATATATATATATATATATATATATATATATATATATATATATATATATATATATATATCATCCATAGCACACTGCCAAGTTCATCCACCATACTTGACATGTCAAGTTGGTGGCACGGTGTGTGCCAAATATGTGTGACACATGTCGAGCTCCTTTTGAGCCCACTATGTTTAGCCTAAGATGTTATGATAAGTCCACATATATTTTACATCCCAAGGCCACCCATTAATCCACTGTAACAAGTCAATTAATATCCCTATTTTCGACATTTGTGACAAACATACAACTTTCTATAATAGATTCTTGCCACGCCTAATTAACAATTTTATCGCATCATTTTTATCATAAACCAAAAGTGCATAATCATAGCCTCAAATTCAACATCAGTTTGAAAATTACCATTGTAATAACATGATAGGGTTTTTTAACAACCAAAACACCTTTATAGTGTAAATACCATGGTTAGCAAACCACCATACCATATTGTGAAGAACATCACATTCTAATGTGACATTCTAAAAAAACAAGGATAACAAAAATCAATGACATTTTGTAAGAGTAGAATAATGTAGATTAATCTATAAACACTATAACTTAGAAACATTATTCACAAATGACCTATTAGGGTAACAAACGTTTACTTTTGTTCATGTTTAGTCACTTTTTTTGTATATCATTTACCATTTAACGTGTTTTAGGTGTTCACAAAATACCATTGCAACATGCTATTAAGGTTTCCGACGACTTTATCATCTCCGATGACTCTCTGGTCATCTTCTTCGACGAGTCTCCGGCCAAACATGAGTCATTCATGGAAGATTTCAAGTTCATCATTGGCGGATTCTTGGAACACGCACATTTTAAACACATGTAAAATCAATTTCATCCATGGTTTTGGAACACACATCTGATGCACATGTGAAATCAAGTTCATACATGGCAGATTTCAAGTTCATCCATGGTAGATTTTTCATATCTTGTTTCTTGAACCCTTCATCTTCATTGAGTTTAAATCCTTCAAACACACGTTTGGAATCGATTTTGTTTATGAAGTTAGGGTTCGGTTCTGATAAACTATTTTAAACACACATTTGAGATCGATTTTGTTTCTCATGAAGAAACCCTAACAAGAATCGAACTCATTTCGAGTTTGAATCATTCATCTTCATCGATTTTAAAGCCTTCAAACAGGCATCTAGGATTGATTTCGTTTTTGAAGTATGCTTACGATACTGATGAACGGTTTTGGAACCCTTCATCTTCATTCGACTTTAAACCCACGAATTTGGAACCAAAGTCATCGAAGAAGGTTTTTATGTGTGTGCTTCCCAAAAAAATCATACTTAGCCGAAGAAGGTGACCAAAAAATTCATGTTTGACAGAAAAACTCATGTTGATCGGAGACTCGTCCGAGAAGATGACTAGAGAATCTTCGGAGATGACAAAGTCATCGAAAACCTTCATAGCAAGTTGCAATAGTATTTTGTGAACACCTAAAACAAGTTAAATGATAAATGTTGTACAAAAAAGGGTTTATGCCACGAAAGTCACTATATATACAACCTTGTTTTGTTTTAGCCCTAACATTATTTTTGTTCCTCATTTGCCATTATATTTTAGAAAACGTTTCATTTTCGGGCATTTGACTAGTCACCAACAAGTTATAATGACGTGTCGGTTTTGCATTTTTTCTCGGTTTGTATTTTTCCCCAACATTTATGTATGAGCTTGCATTTAGCCCCAACATTTACGTATGAGTTTTACATTTAGCCCCAATATTTTTTCCCAATTTCCATCACTTTTTAGAAAAAAAAAAAAAATCATTTTAGCCCTTAGCCAGTCAGAAATAGGTATTTTAAATATTTGATTTATCAACAAATGTCATTAGAAATAACCAATTGTTTTTTAGATGAGTTACAAATAAATGAACAATTTTGATTGACTTAAAAATTAGAATGTCATATTGTTTATTAGTGTCACATACTCAAGACTTACGATATGTGGCTTTTCCTTCATATTAAAATACATGTATACATTAAATATAATTAACACCGATATTACAAAAAATAGAGTCGTTGACTTACTAGCTAACATGTTCTACCTCTCAAGGAGAAATCTCAATTTCAACTTTTTAGAAATATTTGGTTTTTCAAAAAATCTATCATTAGAAAATAATTAGTTTTTCCTTAGATGAGTTACGGATGAATTAACAAATATTTCTCTTTAACTGACGAGGCATGTCACATCGTTTGTTAGAAATAACCATTTGATTGGCTTTTAAAAATTAGCATGTCATATTGTTTATTAGATGTCTCGGATTTAAGACTTACATTAGGTCTTTTTTCCTTGATTTTAAAATACATGTATATATTAAATACAACAAACACCGATAATACAAAAAAAAAAAAAAAAAAAAAAAAAAGTTATTGGCTTACTAGCTAAAACGCCCCATCCTCAATGAGAAGTCACAATTTCGAGGCTTGCATTTGTTTTTCCCTTTTTCATTTTAAGTTATTACGTTTTAAAATACATATTCGTAACCAGCCAAGGGCTAAAATGTAATTTTTTCTAAAAAGTAATGGCAAATGGGAAACAAAAAAAAATATTTGAGTTAAATGCAAACCCATGCGTAAATTTTAAGACTAAATGCAAACCGGAAAAAATGCAAAACCGACATGTCATCATAAACTATCGGTAACCGGTCAAACTTATAACGGCGAATCAGAAACAAAAAAATAAAGTTGAGACTAGAACAAAACAATGTTGTATATATAGTAGCTTTTGTGACTAAGGATCGTTACCCTAATATTTCATTTCCCAAACATCATCCACCAAGTACTAATAAAACGGACACGAAACAAAAGTTACATTAATTATTGCACTATTAAAAAAAAAAAAAAAAAAAAAAAGACGTCATCTTTATTTATTTTTATAAATTTACAAACAATGTAAATAATTATATTAAAAAAAACAAATGAAATTGTCTATAGATAGACTTACAACAAAAAAAGAATCTTAAATAAAAAAATCCAACTGGTCCCCATCTGAAAATTTGCACCTCATTAGAAGCCTAACGGTCTGGACCCAGACCCAGACCCGGACCCGGACCCGGCATTAGTTTTACAAAGAAAACTGATTATTGAGATGAATATAAAGTTAACTAATTATCTTGATGTAACTGATAAAGTCGAGTATCAAGTGATAGCTGAGAAAACTTAGCAGCATCTCCACTTTGCTCCATACTCATAATCTTCAAACGTTGAACTTCAGCAGTCAACGCCTCATTTAAGGCTGCCAACATTCAGCAAGAAAACTAAAATGTCAAATACCCAAAATACCCCTCTACATATATATATATTATTATGCGTCAAAGTCAAAGATGGGATTCTAGACATACCGTCCCGGAGGTGGGCTTGCTGTTCCATTGCTTGTAGACGGAACTTTAACTCGTTATTTTGACTTGTCAAACTCGCCGAATCTCTCTGGTAATAAAGTAAATAAAATCAATAAAAACCAACACTGATTTTTCTTTTCTTTTTTTTTTTTTTTAAATATAAAATCCCACCTGAAATAATGTAAGCTGGGCAGACAACGTTGTTGTTTCTGTCTGCAAGGTTTGAACCTTATTTTCCAATTCTGTGATGTAACGTGTTTTTCTTTCTTTAGATCGAGCAGCTGACTGGCGGTTTGCTAAAATTCTGTGATGTAACGTGTTATACATGTAACCTTTTATTAGATAAAAAATGTATGTTTTAATAATATAATAATTAATTCAGATTGTGAATAATTTATTTAGTTATAACTGTTTAATAATATAATTCACAAAGTTATTGTAACAAAAAGGATACAAGACAATAAATATAAAAGGTATCTTTGAAAATCTATATAAGTTGTATAATTATCTTGGCTTAAAAAATACTGAAGAGAGTTATAATATACCTTTTGACTCTCTTTGGATCAGTCAAAGCAATCTCTGCAAGATTCTCATTAGTCATGATTTTCTTGAGCTCACTGCCACTAAACATACCATTTCCAAACTCTAACCTAAAAGTTTCTGAATTTGGATTGATAGAATCACTTGGTGATAATTTACCGATTTGCCCTCCAGAAGAAGGCAACAGCTTAACTGATTCATCTGCAAAGTTCATCTTTCCCATAATGCTATCCATGGAGACACTTCTATAGTGTCTTGTAGTTGGAGCAACTTCTCCACCTGCACTCCTTTTAACACCTTCTTTTTTATCAGTAACTAAACTGACTCCTAACCTCTGCTGCATATTGGTACTGCTTGTAGCTTCATTATCACTGTTATCACCTCCATTAGTTTTTGTACCACTATCCAAATCTTCACAGTTTTCACCTCTAAACGAGTTTAGTCTACCAAGATTGTTTAAGTTCATGTAAGTTGAAAAGAAATCATCTGCAACTTCACCTTCTGAATTCTTCTCTCCAACTTTGCTTTCACTACCATTTCTCTCCCAGTTTGATTCACGTTTCACTTCCAGTCCCTTTAAACCTCTTGATGATGGGATCAATGGTGGTGATGATTGTAAGATAGTTGAAAACCCGAATGGAATATCACTGTTTGATCTCCTGTGTGTCTTACGAGGTGGAAGTGGAAGGCTCTCATGATCGCCTGCCATTTGATCAGATGTGAGAGCAGAAGTGGGGTCCCGATAAGGGCTCAAAGGGGGTAAAGAGTCAAGTGAGAAATACGAGGGCTGTGATAAAGTTCTTGAGTGGGAAGAACCAGTAGCAAGTGTTAGATTCTGTGAGGAAGGTGAAAGGGGAGGCATTTGTGGATGAGACTGAGGTATTCCCACTCTTTTAATGGTGTTTTCAATGTTAATACTTGGGGGAAATTGTGTAATTTGGGCACGAATATCGGGATGATTGAAAGGAATATGCGATTGCAGTTTAGGGACTGATGATGATGAAGCACCAAATGACGATTGTAGCCTTTGGTTGCCTTCCTCAGATTCACTCATTGCTTTTCACTTCCCCCAAAATCTTCAATGCTATCAATCAGCCGAGTTGAACAGATGACAAAATGGCTTATATAAATGTAAAAATGGGATGAACAAGTCAACAAACCCTAAGAGCACTACTAACTACTGACGATCGAGGCTAAAACCAGTGACTGAATTAAAAAACCTAATTTACGCAAATGAGTCGTTAATATCAACAACTCGCATACAACTTTTTTGAATGATAGAAGAAACAGAAAACACAAGTATAAATAGTTTACCGAATGACTAGAACAGAGACGAAATGACAGCCGATCAGCACAAGATAGCTAGGGTTTCTCCGCCAAATGGTGACGGAATGGACGAAGATGGATAGCCGGCAAGTCTCTCACTGTGTGTTTCTCTCCCTCTCTCTCTCTCTAACAGTATTAACTTTCTCTCTCTAGATATCGAGGATGATGCACTACTGCACGGATTTCTTCGTCACTACTGAGATATCGAACACTATACATTGATCATTGTTTGAATATCAGTAGGTTAACGTTACATTTTCTATTTAAAGTAATATTTTTTGTTAGGGGTTAAGCTTTCTTGAGAAAGACATTATGAAAATTGTTTTTAAATTGTCAGCAAACTAAAAAAAATATTATAATTATAAACAAAATTATAGAGTATAAACTTTTTGTTATAAAGAAAAAGGGATAATAACTTGAAAGGGTAACGAACTTTCGATTTTTTTCACATTTAGTCACTAATTTTTTTTTCGTTATCTATTTGTCATTGAACTATTGAAACTGTTCATATTTTACCCTTATGACCGGCTGTTACCGGTCATAAGGGTAAAATGTGAACAGTTTCAATAGTTTAGTGGCATATAGATAACGGAAAAAAGTTTAGTGACTAAATATGAACAAAATCGAAAGTTCGTTTCCCTCAAAAAAGTTCAATGACTAAATGTGAACAAACTTCATCTTGTATTATGTTTTAGCAAATTATTTATTTTTGTTAAATTCTAGCAACATTTGTTAATAAAGAAATCTATGAAATAAAAAAAAAAAAAAACAAAAACAAAACCTGAAAACATATTTAAAAAAACAAAAAACCAAAACCGAAATAAAAAACCAATTGTTTGATATTTTCCAAAATAAAAAATCAAAATTTTCAATCTGATTTTGTTTTTATAAAAAAATGAATCATTCTCACTGATGTGAATTATGACTATTGGTTTGGCATGCGGAATTTGTGACAACCCATGAATACGTAGTTACAACATCGTCTGAACTCATAATTCATAGTAAGGGGCTAGAGTATCATCGCATGAATACGTAGTTCCAACATTGCATGAACTCGTAATTCATCACCTACAGGTTATAAGCCTGCTGGTGTTTCCACTAGGTTGTCTAAAATAATCCGTAGTCGCCATCTATACTCTGGTAGATGACTACATCGTCACATTGCCGGCTAAGGTTATGATATCTCCTTTCATCCTACATCACCTATTCATCATCATCTATTTACCTAATTATCATCACCTTTCTATCATCACCTATCTCTCATCATTTTATTTCATCACACACCAACTATTTCATCTACCCATCTTTCATCCGCAACATATTTGTAGATATAAAATAAATATATCGTTTATGGGAAAGGTAGCTCTTCCTCTCACTCTACACACCCAAGGTAGCTAGGGCTCTCACTTATGGGAAAGGTAGTCGCAATTGAAGGCCATAAGTGCCTTTAAATATGGCTCGAGCCCAAAGATTTAGGGTTTCTGCCAACAGCGCGGACTCGTCGAGTCCATTCATTAATTCGAGTCATCAGTCGCGACCTTACTCGACGAGTTGAGACGTCAACTCGTCGAGTCTCTCTTCTTAACTCAAAAGAAAAATACTTAAATTATGATACCTGGAAATTCGGATGTTACATTTTGTTTTTTTATTTCATATAATTCTTCATCAACAAATGTTGTTACAATTAAACAAAAATAAATAATTTGCTAAAACGCAATACAATAGGAAGTTTGTTCACATTTAGCCATTGAACTTTTTAGAGGGAAATGAACTTTCGATTTTGTTCACACTTAGTCACTAAACTTTTTTTCGTTATCTATTTACCACTAAACTATTGAAACTGTTCACATTTTACCCTTATGACCGGTAACAGCCGGTCATAAGGGTAAAATGTGAACAATTTCAATAGTTTAATGACAAATATATAACGAAAAAAAAAAAGTTTAGTGATTAAATGTGAACAAAATCGAAAGTTCGTTACCCTTTCAAGTTATTATCCCAAAGAAAAATTATGTAATATGAATTTGTGTTTTTCATCAGTTAATAAGTTTCATGTTACGTCTATATTTTTAACTAAGTTCTAAATGTTTTTTATATAAGTTCGTTCCGAATTTAGTTTTTCTTTTATTATACAAATATACTTTTTACAACTTTTTAGACATTCTTTAGAACCTTTAAGACCTTTTTTTTATACTTTTTATGAAAAAATTTACATTAAAAAAAATAATAATAATAAAACATTTTTAAGAACCTTTTCTAAAATATGGGTCAAAAAGTGGACAACATTCACAAACCAATTATAACAAAATTTAAAATCTGAATAAAAATTGTAAAATTGAAATGTGACCTACCTGGTATCACAAGTGAAAAAACTAAAACTTACAGTTTATTATATTTCTATAATATTTTCCAGTTTGTTAGCAATTTCAAGACAATTTCAATAATATCTTTCCCCAAAACAATGCAAACCCTTTTTGGTTATTTAAGTCATTGGTTTTTTTATTAAATCACATAAAATATGTTATATAAATACTGATGAATTGAAAGTTTGAAACAGATTATTTTATGGTATAAATCTCAATATAAAATAACATAATAATGCATCTTAATTTCAGTTTTATTTATTGGTTTGTTAATGATTCTTTAAACTGGTGTATTATGTAGTTTCATTAAGCCTATTGCATGGGGAATCAAGCTCAACTCTTGGATTCGGCCGGTTTAATCTGTTCCGTTAATTTTACTCGATTTAACCAATTTTGGGTTAATCGATTTTGTTTACCGGGCAAACCTAATAGATTTAGGGTTTATATGTTTCAAGCCATTTCAAATGAAATTTTATAAAAATTATTCATTTTGGTCGCTATTTCAAGTGAAATTTTATAAAGACTTTAGTATTTTACATTTTGAGCACGTTTTAAATTTCATTAGCTTTATTTGAATCAATTAACCTTTGTAAGTTGCAAACATCATCTTGAACTTCTTGTTGTGCCTAAAATATAAATAACACTGAAAAGATAAATAAATCATGTTGAATTTGTTATAAAAAAAATGGTAAAACGCACCATTTACACAACGTATAACGAACTTGCCCCATGTGGCCATGTCCATCATGTAAACTAGTTCGGAACCAAACCAAATACCACTAACCGGTAACAAATGATTCCGATTCCGGTTCGGTTCCGGTTCCAATTCGGTTTTTCAAATAAAATTTTCATCCTTTTTTGTATGTCTATTATGATTAGGGGTGTTCATGGTCATATATGGTTAACCGAACCGAAATTTCATTTCAGAAGGTTAACCGAAACAATCAATATAATAATATTTTAAACCTAAAGCACAATCGAAAAATCTGGTTAATCGACTTTCAATTACACGGTTTTTTCGGTTTGATTATATGTTAACCAGTTATCCATTTGCTAATAAATAAATATATTTTCAAAATAACAAATTTTATAACTAATTTCAAAACTTAATTAGTTTGGACCTTAAGGAATAAGGTTATTGGGTTATGTACTAAGACTGTAAGCTTAAAGTGAAGTTGAGATTAAATCAGATTTGCTTGCTAGACCATGTCTGCCACGACACGACAAACTAGCGACTACGAGTTTCTAAGGTTTCTTCCATATTTAAAGGCATTAAATCCAAGATTAGGTCATTCCATTTAGCCTCCATCCTCCCATCTCGAAATCCTAGCCTCCCTTCTATCTTTTCCTTTTCCTCCTTAACTTATCTTGTTGAAGTGTGTAAGCCCCAAATCTGCTTGTGTATCAATCAGATCCGTTTGATGGTGCGGATTTTCAATCAAACGGATGATGCCAAATCTAATGAAGAAGTAGTAGAAGAAGAAGATAATGAATCTTGTATGATTTGATTAGAATGTAGATTCAAATACAAGATTCACATACAATTTACACACACTTATGCTCCTCTCTTCTCTCTTCTCTCTTTGGGTCGTACACTCTCTTATGTTCATCAACCACTCCTCACCCACCTAACACCTATATATATATATATATATATATATATATATATATATATATATATATATATATATATATACTTGGGGAACATGGGCCGTAAATGGGTTTACGACCGTAAACACAACCGTAAACATACATACAACCGTAAACACCAAGCTATTTACGGTCCTAGACTAAAAAAATATATTTTCCTAGAAAAGCAAAGTATAAACCATAATTTTAGACCCAACAATCTCCTCATTGGTTTATAGTTTTCTTTTCTAATTGACCTAACAAACTCCCCCTAAAAAGGTAGTCGGCTTTTCTTGTCAATCTCCATTTGGAGTTTGGCTTCAGTTTAAATCTTCGATATCTTCACGACTTCAAGATGAACATATGAATTTTCAATAAATGACTTCATCTCGAGCAGTTGAGCTTTTCTTTAGAATTTGACATTGAACGCACATTGAGTGAGGAGGCTTCTTATATTGATTATTGAAAGATAGCGCATTCAGCTTGAAAATATCAGAGAGAATGAATCTTTTGGATCACTTCAGCAGGTTCACAGATAGCATCATACTGATTGAGGAGGCTTCAATGCAATCCGTCACATAATCTCCAAGAACAATTCCACCTTGCTTTTGGGGTTGAAAGATTGAATGTTGAAAGAATAATCTTCATTTCTTGCTTCTTGGAATGAGAATTTTTTGATGATCACAGATGAAACATTGGCTCATAAATCTCGATACAGTCTCCATGAGTCTCATCT